CCTGTAAAATTAAGAGACTTTGTTGAATTCTAATTTTGTGTTTGTAGTGTTTGTAAATTCTGTACATTTAATTAAGTTATTGTTAACTATCTATTGGTTTGATGTAAGTCGCTATTGTTTGGGACGAATAATACTAAGGAAGGGGCAGTGTTACGACAGCGGAAGTCACGTGACGCTAGTTACACGTCATGATATTCTCGAAGGTTCTTGAATGCTCGAGTGTTTACTCTCTCTTTCTGTCTTTTTCCTTTTATTTTTGTCTCTTCCTTTCTCTCGCTCTCTTTTTCTTTCTGTATTTTTCATTCTTTCTTTCTGTTTTTCTTTTTCTCTTTCTGTCTTTCTTTTTCTTTCATTCTTTCTGTTTTTCTTTTTCTTTCTCTCTTTCTTGTTTTTTTCTTCTTTCTTTCTTTTTCTTCCTCTGATTAAACTCTCCGACCAACTGACAGGTATGACAAGCTTTGCAAAATGAATAAATATCTTGTCTAATTTTGGCCAAAAGAAATTTCTCATAATTTTGTCACTTGTCTTGTTGACACCTAAATGATATCCGATGGGGAGTTCATGGGCAACTTTCAATATTTCAGAAGGACATGCTTTGGGAGCAACGATTTGAGGAACAATAGTCCAGTCCTCTGAAGTTGGCACATCTGGTGGTCTCCATTTCGTCATAAGTACACCATTTTTGAATAAATAACCATTTGGAACTTTCTCCAGTTCATCTTTTGGGAGTGCGTGTTTAAATAGTGAAGTGATCTGCAAATCTTTTTCTTGTCCAGTGATCAGTTTACTTTTAGTAAATGGAACTTCACTAGGTGAATCAGATTCTTCACGTTCATCGTTGTCACTCACCAAGGTATTGTCAGTAGGACGATCATTCACAAGATCCCTGTCGGATTCAAAAAATGTTTGAGACAAATCTATAATATCATCCTCTGAATCCATGCTTATCATTTGTTTTTGGCTTAATTTTTTAGCCCGAGTTCGAGTCACAGAACACGAGGGAAACACATTGGGATTCTCTTCAACTACAACACCATCCTTAAATGAAACAGTGATCAGCTCACTAACTATCTTAGGTTCGGCAACAAAAATCGTCTATGACAAATCTATAATATCATCCTCTGAATCCATGCTTATCATTTGTGTTTGCCTTAATTTCTTAGCCTGAGTTCGAGTCAGAGAACATGAGGGAAGCACATCGGGATTCTCCTCAACTACAACATCATCCTTAGATGAAACAGTGATCGACTCGTTAACCGTTTTAGATTCGGCAACAACATTTTCTCCAACCAAGTCGTTTCCCAACAACAATGATACACCCTTAATTGGCAGAATAGGTCTTACCCCAACCACAACTGGTCCCGAAACTAGGTCTGATGCTAAAAAAATGTTATGAAGAGGAACATTAACAAAGCTACCATCAATACCCTGAGCATTAATAGACTCACCAGTGGCAGAACTCGAATCTAAAGGCAATATATCTTCTTACAACAATGATTGAGTCACCCCAGTATCACGTAGAATA